GTCGTTGTCGCGAAGGTAAGAAATTCGTAAAGCAATACAAATAAAATTTTGCTCTTAGCTGCATTCTTTATTCTATCTTAATGGTACTTTTCTCATCTCATTTACAATTTCACTCTTTGAAAAGGATGGACCGGTGTTCTCTGCGATATGGACGTTGACGAATGCTTGGAGTCACCATGCAAAAACGGTGGTCTCTGCATCAACATTCCATCTTCCTACACTTGTGCTTGTTTATTCGGTAAACAAATTATTCTTGTCTATAAGATACAGCTATTTTTGTCCAGAATAGCATATACAAATATAATAACTTATATATAATATATAATTAAAATTAGGACCATAATTAAATTTCGGATGTTACAAGTATATTTTACTATCTTTTATCTTCTTAAGATTAAAGCGGGCATTTTTTAAAACATTAAAAAATAACATATGTCACTTCTCATATTTTTCTAATATTAATTATGTATAAAGTTTAATGAGCATTTTTATTCCATTATTTTTATTAAAGGTTTTACTGGCAAGAATTGCGATAAGGCAATCGTACCGTGCAAGGAGAATTTTTGTCAAAACGGAGGAGTATGTCTACTGGAGGACGACCGTTCAGTTTGTTACTGTGTGCCCGATTATCATGGTGTATTTTGTGAGCTAAGATATGATGATTGTGAATCAAAATTTGCACAATGCAACAATGGAGGTACCTGTATCGACGGTATCAATAGTTTTACTTGTTCGTGTCCATCAAATTACGGTGGTCCTATGTGCGAATATAGTTTTCCCTCGACAATCACTATAGAAACGGAAGACACATCTGAACAAAGAACAAGTCTAATCAGAACTACAACTGCCATAGTTTCATTTGAAGAATCAACTTCATTAGTGAACACATCTATATCTTTATCATCCCCATCGACTATCAGCTTTGCCACTTATTCGACATCTCCGAGAACAAGTAGTTCACCTTATACAAAGAGATATACAATTATAGAGAAGACTACAACATCAAGATATGAAAATTCTAATATTAGCAGTGATAGCAATGTTTTTGTTACTGAATTTCCATCAACGAGTTCAACTCGAGATGATTTCGTTACGTTGGAACAAGTAACGGTATCGTCAATCACTGTTACTGAAGACTATCAATATGAAACAGAAGGTATTGAAGTTTATTTACCAACTGGGAGATCTGTCCATGACGGTGAAGTTACTAAGGAATTTGGTGATTATGATCAGACCACAAAGATACATTTACCGGTTTCCAGTAGAATAGACGAAGATGTAACGGAATACACGACAAGTTCTAGGTAAGTGGGATATTCTTATTAAGAAATGAAGTAATTCTTATTTTTTTGGATATTGAGATCAATATATTTGATAAATGATGATATTAATTATGTTATCACTTTAGCCACAATAATAAACGAGACAATTTGTATCATATGAGTGAATTTTCATCCAATATTCCGTTCTTTATTAGTTATCAACCTACAATAGATGAATACCAAAAGAATGATATAACTAACGTCACAAGTGCCATCATGAATCACGCTACCGATATAACACTTTCCATCGATACGACATTCCGATACACGACGGATTCCATACAAAATAGAACATTCGAGCTGGGAACTACGATCATAGATACACCAAGAACTGTTGTACCATTAACTACCTCATCAACACTGCCATCGGTCTTACCTTCGACCATCAGACTTGACACTTCCACAGTACCTTCCTCGTTAACGTCTACTAGCATATCTTCGTTAAGCCAAACTACTGTTATTAACATCGAAGTTAATACTACACAAATCGGCGCTTGTCGCGGAAATCAGTGTTCTATGAATACTACCATGATAACTCCGCGAAATATTACTGAAGTAAGTGATTAATATAACAATAAAAACAATAAATAATAATACATAATAAAAAAATAATTTGTAAAGAACTTTGAAACTATAGATACTATAATCTTTGTAAGCAACCTATATGGAAAACTTAAACTTAAAACTATTTCTCTCAAAATAAAAAATTATCAGTTAATGTGTCTGTATTATAATTGTTATTTAGTATGCTGATGGTTGCAAGACAGATTCGACTATTATGCAAGCGGCCTTTAACGGCAAATCTTTCGTTAGACAACGCGTCGAAGTAATAATCACTGAGAATAAGAGCGCGACGCTCCGAATTTATGTTAAGCTTAAAACGGCATTTAAAAATGGAATTATATTACACGTTTACTTTGACAATGAAAGATATTCTTCGGTGTACTTGGAACTTGGATCGTTGAAGTTCCAGTTTTCTTGTGGTCTAGAAACTATATTACTTGGTGAAATCGATGCAATTATCGATAATGGATATGAAATGGGCATCGATATGAGGTATTCCATTTATATTAAATTATTTTTTTAACTTTAATTTGTTCTTACTCTAAAATTCTTATTATCTAAATCAATAGGCATAAAAATTCGTTATCTTTTTAATTTTTTTTATGACAATATTAATAGGAAAGAAACATTTCCTTTTGTTTTATCACAGCTTTCAATATGTTGCTAATGATGAAAACGAAAAATGTTTTGCCAAATTATTGGTAAACGGTACTATGGCTGTGACTGGCGAACAAATATTACCACAGAAAGGAATGGTTCCAAAATACGCTAATGTGTACATAGGAGGCATCCCATTAACGTTCTCACATTATTTTCCTCACGTAGCTAGGGGATTCATTGGTTGCATGGATTCTCTGAAGGTGAGAGAATTAGTTTTAATGAGGGATTATTCTCTCAGCATTCCAGATTTATTCACAGAAGAGTTCAATTATTTTAAAAACTTTCTCAATGAAAGGTTTATTAATTTTATGCAGAATGGCTCAGAATTATTTCAATTACATTGCAGGTAAATGGAATTATGCGACATTTTATTCACGATTCTACAGAAACTTTCCAAATTGAAGAATGCACATCATTTTTATGTTTATCGAATCCATGTCAAAATTTCGGTGCGTGTGAAGAAAGTGGTGGAAGAATTCGTTGTAAATGTATAGCGGGGTAAATATCTATGAAATTATAATAAAATTAATTTACGCAAATTTTTCCTTTTTTTAATACATCTTTATATACGTCTAAGAAAAGGAATAGTGTGAACATAATAAAAAAAGTAAGAGCAACATTACAGATAAAGAAAATAAATGATTCTAATATTAAGAATATTATTAATTCTAGTATTAATATTTCTTGATATTAAAAAATATTTTAATTAACACTAATCAATTTTAGTGTAGAAACAACAGTCTTTAAAATCTGCTCAGTAGAAAAAACTGTTTATAGGTATACCGGGCCTTTGTGTGAACATTCGGCATGTAACGATAATCCCTGCTCGATGGGTGCCACATGTGTAAGCTCTCCCGGAACTGGTTTCATCTGCGTCTGTCCACTCGGTAGTCGTGGGCTTTTTTGTGAAGAAGGTAAATCGTAATAACGAAATATTCAATAGATATTCTATAGATGTGATAACGATGCAATAAAATCGCAATGCAATAAAATTTTGACAAAGTAACTCGTCCTGTCAGATGCCATCTTAGTACGGCCAGCTTTCTCAGTCTTCGTCCCTGGCTTCGCGTCGTATATTGCTTACGGCGTGTCTACTTCGATAAAGGATACAATGGAACTGAAGCTGCGACTCATCCCGCGCACGTTTGATCAAATCTCTCTGATAGCATACCTCGGACAAAGAAGCTCGCGCCGTGATGTTTCGGATCATCTTTCGATAACGTTCGTGCGCGGATATATTATGCTTACATGGGATTTGGGTTCCGGTAAATGATCAATGAATGTAAATTAGAACTTTCCATATATTCGAAGTTCTCATACCTTTTTCAGTCATATCTTTAATAAATGGCATAGATATAGATTATTTAAGGAATTTTATAATTTGTCTACACTGCATCTACACATTTATATATATATATAATTATATAAAATTTTGGCATGAAGTTCAAAGAAAGTACATTATTTTCAATTTCAATATTATAATCTTTTAATAGGAGTGCGAAGAATCTTTACTAGCGATTCGTTAAGCTCTCTGAGCGTGACAGGATCGGCTAGTAAAAGTAAAACGTATACTCTTCGTGTCGGAAGGAGAGGTAAGGAATCGTGGCTTGCTGTAGAGGGTCTCAAAAATGTGACTGGTCAAGCAGTAGGATCTATGACTCAACTCAATGTATCGCCTGTTCTCTATATCGGTACGTTGTTGCAGATTCGACATTTAGCATAATATCAACTCCACAATCGTCTGTTATCATATATTTTATGCTAAATGTAGCTATTCAATCCTCATCACTCATATCTGACGCGCGTTGACATACCGTCTATACATTTCGAATGAATATAAGTCGAAATGAAATAATATTGTACATGAAGTGTATATAAGTGAATAAAAATATAGAGAAAATTTTTCTCATTTTTTTTTCAGGTGGTTATAAATCTAAAAACTTTGAAACGTTGCCTCACGATCTCCCTCTTCATACTGGCTTTTCCGGATGTATATTCGATGTTGAATTGCGTACAGATACGACGATTCTTCCACTGACTGGTACCAGTCCTGCCACTGGCCGTGGCATAGGTGAATGCAATCACAATGAATGCATTCGCCACTCGTGCAAGAACGGTGCGGTATGTTTACATCATGGGGCATCGTATAGGTAATATACTATATATATATATATATAATATATAAAAAATTGTTCATCGTCTTTTCAGTTGCATTTGTACAAAGGAATGGGTTGGGCCTGATTGCTCCATTCCTATTTAATTCGTCATTAGAAACAACTTTCTAGATGCCTGTAAGGAATTTCTTTCTCTCAGTTTTTTATTAATTAGTACGAAAGGAGGAATCGGTTAGCATCGATATTATAATATTATATATATACACATTACAATGAACATGTTATTCTTACAAATTTTATATTTATTAATGTAGTGATTCTATAATAATCTAAAATAAAATTAGCTTACATTAAAGGCGTCATTTTTGAGCTGAGAAGTGGAGGAATGAGAATTTAAATATACAAATAACATTGCTGCCGATAGATGAGCCTGCAGATCTTGTTTGCTGTATTCATGATACCATTCTACATTGCCCCAATGAGAAATCTATGTATAAAATATATAATAATGATACACAATAGAAACGTCACTAACATATAGTAAATAACAAAAGATAAAATAGACTTTACAAAATTAACATTTTTATCACAAATCTATTTAAGAAGGTAATATATACCTGGTATTCTTCTTCTAGGCGTGAAAGACTTACAGCTTCCGGAATATTAATTACTGTTGCAACTGTGGCAAGAGTTAAAATAATTGATTTTAATCTGTCCACTGCATATACAAGACCTATATACAAATAGCAATTAATATATACAAGCATAGATCATTTTATCTCACAAAATTGCATTATTACCATAAATACTATTGAAATTATGAGATAATAAATGTCTTGTTAATGTAGCTTTGATTTCCATAGATATTGTAGGTGCATCTATACTTTGAGTTTTCTTAATCTCTACATTGTAATGTTTACAAAACCAATAAACTATTGGTTCCCACTTTTCAATTTGTAATTGATACAGTTCATCCACTTCCTAAAGTCACAAAAACCATTAATCAAGATACTATCACATTAAAAATTGTTATTGAAAATTATAAAAATTTATATAAATACTTACACTCGAATAAAACAAAATCGTGTCCATTTCTAAACAGTTTATCATGTGATTGACCAGATCTATTTTGGTGCAATTGTATGGATTGTCTAATACAGTGTTGCATAAGGATGTCTATAACAGAAAATCAGAAAAATGTTAACATATGTTTATATAGAGATATTCCGTATTTATTTAGAATAGATACAGAATATCATATGTGAACTGGTAGTGTCAAATTAGAAATTACTAAAATAGTAATACCAAGTACACTTGTAATTCTAGAGTAAATTTTGTATCCTATTAAATTAACTATGATTACAATAACTAATAAAGAATCAGATTCAAGACAAGGTAAAGGCCAAATGGAAGATAATCACATCAAAAATCGATGAAATTATATTCATTCAATGTGTTTTTGCATAAAACAAAAGAATCTGGCAGAAAAAGGTACCTATCCTGTGCGAACCAAGATATTAATTGCAGGGAATGGAAGTAACTCGTTACTTGTAACAAAGTTACAGTTACAAGTTACTTTTTTGGTAACTTTACTGGTAACTGCGTTACTTTCTTTTTTTGGTAACTGTAACGGTAACGAGTTACATTTTTTGGGTAACTGTAACAAAATTTACAGTTACTTTTGTCGTTACTTTGCACACGATTGAACACGGTTCGATTGGATACATGCTATTTATAACGCTTATCAATAAGACTTGAAAGCCCTTATAGACATTCGGCCGTTATGATTCAGTAATTATTTTACACTTCTATCTTCTATGTAATACATAGGACATACAAATATTTCAGTTTGCTGCATATTTTACAGGTTTTAGAATTACAAAATTGTGTTTAAAAAAAATTAAAAAATAAATTAAATAATAGTAAAATGAGAAGGGCTATGAACCCAAAAGCGAAACAGTTTAAAAGACGATGACAATAAGTGTCGAAACGTCGTTTGTTTTTATCTTTGTTTTGTTCTAATATATATTTATACATTTAATTACATTGTCATCGTCGTTCTTATCAGAAATAAACTGTTTCATTTTTGGCTCGTAACCCTTCTCATTTTACTTTTATTTAATTTATTATTTGAGCCATTCTACATTGTTTTTTCTTTAAATAAAACTATATATTTGTCAGTATTACATATAAAAAAAAAATGCAAAAGTACATTTTTAAATTGATTTTAAAAAAGTAACGGAAAAGTAACGAAAAGTTATTTTTCAAGTAACGGTAACTGTAACGAGTTACTTTTAAAAAGCGATAACTGTAACTGTAACTAGTTACATTTTTTACTCGGTAACGAGTAACTGTAACTAGTTACTTTTAAAAAGTAACTTTCCATTCCCTGTAATTGTTAAAGTTTACGACTATTCAGGTTAGAATATCTGTCATATCAACTCTATATGAGTGCTGAGTATATACTTTACTTTCTGTTTAAAAAGACAAAAAGTCACTGCTTTAAAAATACAGAAATAACTTTTTGTGTTTTTAAACAGTACTTTTGTATTTTTAAAGTAATTCTGTGTTTTCAGACAGTGTTTTTTTATTATTAAAGTAGTGAATTAAAGTAGTGACTGTGTTTTGAAGACTTTTGTATCTTTGAAACAATAAATTTATGAATTTTCCAAATTTCGCATTATTTTCTTTTTCGAGCGCATACTTATGAAAATGCATGCGCGTGTGGCCAAAAAATATAAAAATATGACTGCAGTGCATGTCACATTGCAGTGTTAAGTGACCATGACAGATAACCTGAATTGTCGTGAACTTTAACGATTAATATCTTGGTTCGTGGGGCAGAGTGACACTTTTTTTGGCAGATTTGTTTGTTTTATGCAAAAACGTGTCGAATAAGTATATAATTGCATTGATTTTTGAGATGATTATCCTCCGTTTGACCTTTACCAAAGACAATTGCTCGATCATGATCATGTTATGATGTTAAATATGGAATGTAAAATCATAAAGTAATTAAATTGGTCACATGTAATTATATTAGTCATACCAGATGCATGCTCTCTCTGTTGATTGTCTCCTTCTGTGCGTCCCACTCAGTGGCCACTGCTAAGGCCAGAGGTTTGCTATTCACCTCAAATATTCTGCCCTGTGGTGTTTTCAATTTCATCTGATCCAGAGTAACCTCAAATTTTTCTCCACTCGAAAGTATGTTCGTCCTTCTATAAAATCTTTTCGCCGAAGCTACAAATGTCCAGTTTTATAATGCACTTAGTAATAATCATTCAATTAAAATTTATTAAAAAGATATCACACACACAAAAATCTAATTTAAAAATAATAGTATTTGGAGAACAAAATGTGATTATTACCCATATTTCTTACAATCAAGGAACCTGATACAAATTTATGGCATGTAAAATAATATAGTGTATTGATCAACTCGTTAAGTATTTGAGACATATCTCTTATTATTGTTTATTATTATTGTCTTTTTCTTTTCAAAACATTCAAGAGGATCTTTTTCTGTAATTAATGGCGCACACCTCCCAAAATAGTAATAAAGGATACGATCAGATCACATCTTTTATTATGAAAAACGTCTTTAGTGGGTACACACTGGTACACACAGTCACAGTATATACTGTGACACAGTGGCACAGTCATGGTGGAAGTCATGAAGGAAGATATAAGGAGACTCCACTCGGTCTCGCCAGTCTACAAGACATGAACCCATTTTAGGTTTCGAGTTCCGTTTCCGATTCTCGACACTCGCAGCGCTCGTGAATTTAGTAGTGCTGCGCATAATGAGTGCGAGTAAGAGAAATGATCATTTCTCTTACTCGCACTCATCAGAATCGGAAGCTGAACTCGAAACCTAAAATGGGTCCACTTTTATTTTACGGAGTGGAGTCTCCTTATATCTTACTTCCTGGTGGAAGTATACAAGGTGAATCATTACGCACCTTGGAAAGTGGGGAGAATGACGTCACTTCTGATCGGCCAATAAGCCATTGAGCTGCTTTCCGCAAAACCGCGTAAATTCAAATATTGATATCTAGGTTATGAAATGAAAACATCATTTAAATGTTTTACGCAGTATACAAATATATTGCGTTTTAGTTAGAAATATAGATGAAGCTTTAAATATAAAATAGAAAATTTTAAAATGATAATAATATCTAAATTTCCGCAAAATATATCATAAAAAACTTGAATCTTAATAATAATATATAACTGATAATTAATACGTTGAGAATGGCGAATAAGAGTCAATCTAAATCTGATAATATATTCTAATATTCTATATTGCGAAGAATATCACGTAATGTTTGGCGTTTCGTCCCGGCTTCCACTACTGGACTCATCAGTAAGGTATTGTAGTGGAAGCCTACCTTAGACGCCGGTGTAAGTTATTAAATCGAGATTCTATATAAAGAGATATACGCGTGTCTCAGCACTTGCGAGAATTTGCGAATATCGATAGACCTCTGATGGCGGGTCGACGTAGTAATATTCTTCGCAATATTTATCCAAAGTGAGAAATAACGTTCAAATTATATATAGTCCCCCCAAATAATCTGATTTTTAAATGTCCCCCCCTTCTTAATTGTTGCGCGCCGAAAGATTTTTCGGTCTTGCAACGCAACTCTAATAATCTGAAATATCCCCCCTCCTAAATATTTGCGCGCCGATGGATTTTCGGTCTTGAAACGCAATTAATCTAGAAACTGTAAATTTTTACTTAATGAACAGAATTGCAATGTATTATCCGCGTTATTACAACCTGCGGTTTTGAAAACAAATAATTGAAGAAATAAAGGACTCTTTTTATAAACAATAATTAATACGTTGAGAATGGCGAATAAGAGTCAATCTAAATCTGATAATATATATCTATATCTGATAATAAATAATTTGAACGTTATTTCTCACTTTGGATAAATATTGCGAAGAATATTACTACGTCGACCCGCCATCAGAGGTCTATCGATATTCGCAAATTCTCGCAAGTGCTGAGACACGCGTATATCTCTTTATATAGAATCTCGATTTAATAACTTACACCGGCGTCTAAGGTAGGCTTCCACTACAATACCTTACTGATGAGTCCAGTAGTGGAAGCCGGGACGAAACGCCAAACATTACGTGATATTCTTCGCAATATAGAATATTAGAATATATTATCAGATTTAGATTGACTCTTATTTGCCATTCTCAACGTATTAATTATTGTTTATAAAAAGAGTCCTTTATTTCTTCAATTATTAATATATAACTGCTTTGATGATGTAATGTTTAAATATTGTCAATTACAGTTTTATTATTGCTATGTGATATATAGAAAGTGTTTAGAAATGAAATATTTACTATCAGTAAAGAATATTTGACATAAACGGTTTTGACTTAACTCCAAATATATCAACAATGAAACCATCTTCTTTGAAGCAGAATGTGTTCAATATACAGAATAATTATGCAACCCTTTCTGTCAAATTTGCGAATAATTTGTTTTCTTCACAACTATTACCTTTTTACACTAGCGACTACTACAACTTTTTCGAATGTCGGGAGTACACCTGAAGTGATTTCGAACTTGCCTTCGTCTTACTCGCAAATTTAAAATAGGAGGATGTTGTATAAGGAAATAAAATACTAAGCTAATATGAAATGAACAATGTTTTTTTTTATAACATAATTTACTCACTATTGCAAACACAAACATGAATATAATATGCAGATTTAATTATTAACAATGTTAATAAACAAAATTCGTACTTGAAACATTCTAACCGTGTTACATTCAATCAGTTACGAATAACATTCGTGATTCTTTGCAGCTTCTTATTTTTCTTTACAGGTATGCTGTATAAATAAGTTTCGTTTCTAGTCGCGACCGTTGTAACCCATAGATTTATACTCATAGACTGCGCATCTCAATGGGCCGACTGTCGTCTGGACTAGAGAGAGAAAGCATGAGTGGTCGGAGCTTTGTCTCTTTCTAACGATTACCACCATTACCATTTATACTCATAGACTGCGCATCTCAACGGGCCGACTGTCGTCTGGACTAGAGAGAGAAAGCATGAGTGGTCGGAGCTTTGTCTCTTTCTAACGATTACCACCATTACCATCGTTAGAGAGAGACAAAGCTCCGACCACTCATGCTTTCTCTCTCTAGTCCAGACGACAGTCGGACAGTTGAGATGCGCAGTCTATGAGTATAAGTCTATGTTGTAACCGGGTTTGTTTGCATCCTGTATGTCACACGGAGACACACTATCAAACGCCATACACTCACACAAACAACTCAAGCGCGTTTACTTCCTCCCTTTCAGCTCACACAGCGATTGGTTGGTTTATTTTACCACTGCGCAACTCCTAAGTACTTCACCTTGTATACTTCCACCATGGGCACAGTCACCAGTGTCACCACAGAGTAGTTGCACAGTATATACAGTAGCGCAACTCTCTGTCGGCACCTTTGATGTTAGTCTTTTTCTTCTTGTCGATTATAATTGGCCGGGTAGCCGATCCAACGGCAATCATCAAGGCCAGGAACGAAAAATCGTAATGTGTAAACAAAACAAAGTCGTAATATGTAAACGAAGAATGATGCAATGCCCGCGAAAAATGGCGAAACCCGACGAACACCGGGCGCCTGCGATTGCAACGTCGTCACGCCACTCTAAAGCGCGTCCGGACGGACGAACGAGCCGAGCCAAACACGGACACACATCAGTAAGGAAATTCGAGGCACGGTCAAAGTCGGCAACACTTTCTCAAAAATATACAAAAAACGAACACCCGAACCGAGACGCGTCCGCACCGGTCGGGTGGTTCAGGGCCTTTGATGTTAGTGAAGCCTAAAATGGAGTGCGCATGCGCGGCCGAGGCGCGTAACCAATCAGGGCACTGTATTCTATCTCACTTCTGCTCTCTGTTTATAACCTTTTCTCTCTTTCTAATTTATGTTCTAGCAATGTCCTAACCTAATTTGCACATTTGAACATTTAATACGCGTACTAACAAGTAACTTTTATAAAATTATCTTAATTTATTCCATTATTCACAGCGAATACAGAAATCTATAGTTCTCGTTTACACTATATAGATATTTAATACTCACAGTGAAAAACGAGACGCATTTGAAAGAGAAAATAAAATAAAAATTAAACATATATAATGCACATTTATTTTATAACACTATATTTTGCAATTAAATATACCCACAAAATATATTATTATTAACTAATTGTACAGCAATATTGTATGTATAGCATATATCTTGTGTATACAATATAATATATACGCAATTAGAACAGAAAGTCACAATAAAGTCAAAATGACATTAGAATGATTGAAAAATGACTTTTAATGATCATTTTGGAACAATTTTAACATCATTTTGATACAATGATGACTTGTTTTGTTTGGATATATAATTAATGTGGTATTTCATATTTTGAAATATCATATGGCTCGAATAAAATTACTTATATTTATTATATTTTTTTCATATTGAATATAGTAACCGCAGATATTAGGAAATGCAAGAATATTCTCTCTCTCTCTCTCTCTCTCTCTCTCTCTCTCTCTCTCTCTCATAATTTTGTTGGTACTGCATCCGGATGAAGAATAGCTCTACTCTTGCTTATATTGTACCACTTTTCTTCAAAATGTAAGTGGCACAATCTATAAATGCGATGGGCATATTCTGCTCCACTTGCTTCTAAATCTAATCTTTCACACGCACGTATCCATTGCAACCATCTATATAAATATTATTATATTGGTTATTGTAAATACAAATAAAATATAGATAAAAAAATAATAGATATATATATCTACACATATACATATATATATGTTATATATATGTTATATATATGTTATGGTATATATATATGTGTTGTATACAGAAATTAAAAAATATTGAATATTCCAAATATACATATGTTAATATATAGCATAATATACAATAAATTCGTATGTGTTTTAGAAAATAAATGAAATAAAAAGTTGTACCTGTCATGTTCCTTTGGAAACCGAAAAAAGTGTCGTTTTTCCACAATATTTTTATTACAGTCCTCCTTTACGACACACCATCCGCTTGATTTTTGAGCACACATTTTTTTCGCCTTTTAAAATCTCTCCAAATATCTGTAACAGAAAGCTAAGATCAAAGTGCTTCAAGAGAATTTGAAATCTGTACTATTTTTGTACAGATAACCTATTCTCCGTAAAGCTAACTCGGTCTACGTTCTCTGTTTTTTTACACTTTCTTAAACACGTCTGAATACACTGAATAATTATTAAAATTAAACACGTATCACTTATCACTTTATCACACGTAGCACTATTCTCACTGTTTCTCACATAAAATTCGTCGCGTTCCCGCCACTTTCCGTCAAATGGTCCTTTAAATGCCTTATATGGACATTTCAATGGGACTGACAGACACTGACAATAGAAAGAAGAAGTGAGATAGAATACAGTGCCCTGATTGGTTACGCGCCTCGGCC